TATATATATATATATATACACTGAACAAAATTATAAACGCAACACTATTATTTTTGCCCCCATTTTTCATGAGCTGAACTCAAAGATCTAAGACTTTTTCTATGTACACAAAAGGCCTATTTCTCTCAAATATTGTTCACAAATCTGTCTAAATCTGTGTTAGTGAGCACTTCTCCTGTCTAATCAACATCTTGATATGCCACACCTGTGAGGTGGATGGATTATCTCGGCAAAGGAGAAGTGCTCACTAACACAGATTTAGACAGATTTGTGAACAATATTTGAGAGAAATAGGCCTTTTGTGTACATAGAAAAAGTCTTAGATCTTTGAGTTCAGCTCATGACAAATGGGGGCAAAAACAAAAGTGTTGCGTTTATAATTTTGTTCAGTGTATATATGACTCTACTGCAGGTACTGTAGAGGTTGGTTGCCCTTTGCCTGCCAGGAGACAGCTGTGGGCTCTTACATAGACACTATTAATTCTGGGTGTAATAAGTAAAAACTATGAAGCACAAACCAGTGGAGCAATTCATGCAGGGTTCTGACCAGCTCACATGTACGGGAAGGAAGGAAGGCTTGGAGACCCAAATGTACAGTAGAAAGAATCATCTGAACTTTTAAGAGCACCACCAGCTCTCTTGCTGGCTGAGCATTTTTCTCATTGGATTTCATTCCTGCTAAAGCGTCATCTTTTAGACAGGCTCTCCGGTGATAGAAAGGGAGTTATTTGGTTTATATGTCATGCAGTGAAAGAGGAAAAACTGTGTGAAAGGGAGAGTTGGAGAGAGAATATGTATGCTAATACCAACCAAATGCAATGGTTTCTCATTCATATCTGTCAAAGTCCAGGCCTATACTTTTTAAAGCACAAAGAAATCAAATGGCAATGTGTGTGTGTGTGTGTGTGTGTGTGTGTGTGTTATTTATAATTTAAAATATATAAAAAGCAGATGTTGACCTTTCTAGACATCCTGCTTTCTCCTTGCAGGGGAAATAATTAATTTGCTAGTATCAATATAGTACAATCTTAGGCAGCTGGATTGTTGCCGTAATCTTCCTGCATATCTAAATGAATCTTTTTTTCCTTTCTTTCTTTTGTCTCTTCCCCATCATTTCTGCTCCACCACCTGTTGTCATAATATAATTTATAATAGAATTCATTCTCTCATCAAGCCCGTATGAATAACGGATGCTGCAACCACATTGAACCTCATTGTCTGATTTCTCTGGGTGCTTTTCACTTACACCAAAATTGCAGAGCAATATTTTTACTTTTTCTTCATAAACAAAGGCAGATCACTCAAAAGCAGAAGCCTGTGTGCATTTATTTTCCCTTTAATATTGCGGGATGCTTTGCTTTCCACTTGAGACACAATGTTGAGGGACAAAATATCCGATCAGTAAAGAGTTGTTGCAATCTGATCTTGGTGATGTCTAGTTTTTGCTTGCAATGTTTAATATCCAATTCTGGTAATGAGAGATGGGAGGCTTGTGTCATTGTTCCATTTGGTTGATTATTTCAAGTGGAGTCTAACAATTTAGTGACCGCATTGAAAAACAAAACAAAACAACAACAACAACGAAACAACGAAAAAGGACTAAGAAATGTTAAAGATTTCATCATCTGAAATCTTAATCTGAAATAATATTAATATTGATGTAATATTTTGTATTATATTAATGCATCATTTTTGGATGCTCCACAACTATGGAATCTGTTCAACTGACTACTCCTCTAAACGCTAAATGTGAAACTTTACTTTTAATTAAATTAATTTCAATATATGCGACACACAAGACTTTTGTATATGCTTTTTTATAGCTTTTATTTCACAGTAGAAACTAGCAATGACAAGTCTGAATGGCGGTTTTAAAATATGAAGGACTGCCAGTCTTATCAGATGAGTTCTTTTTTATTATTAAACAGTAGAATCACTTGTCCAATAGGGGTTGACAGTCTCTAAGAGGATAAAAAAGGCTTTTATGCTTGAAATGAGGTCATCTATACCAAGAGTCTCTTGGAAGAGTGTGTTCTATTGGTCCATGTAAGGGCCGGATCCCTGAGTGTTGATAAAATCCTGACAAAGACTGACATTGTGGGTGAATGTAGTCCACACACTCTGCCCCTCCGGTATTGCAGTGAATAGAGGAAGAAAACGTCTGAAAAGAGCCATCTCTCCTAGTTTCTGCTCCCTACTCTGTTTCCTATATATCACTGTCACCCTCATGCGTTCTCTCCTAAAGCTGCATTCCCTTTGCTTATCACTCTGCTTCTCTTTAAGCGTTCCTTCTCCATATCTTTACTAACCATGTATTCGCTGTCTCTCTCTCTAACTCTATCTATCATTTCGCTTTTACCCTGGCTATTTAAACCGGCCTCAAATAATGCAGGCTGACCTCCCTACAGACCTGCTTATTATACTCTGCCTCCTGGCGGTCAGGTGACAGTCACATTCCCGACCAATCAAAGTGTCCCCAGGATGGATTTTCAGTGCTCCGGTCAGGCAGAGGTGGCTCATTTTTACATAAACTGAGGACATGGCCGGTGGCCAGCCTAAGGCATCTCCCCCTGTCCGTCTGTCTCGCTGAGCATGGACAAACGCAACAGCTTCTACACCAGTGCACAGTGACACTATGGATTTATGTTATCACATGATGTATTTTATGGTTTCCTTTTAAGGCAAACAAATTCCAAACATAAATGAACTCCTCAAAGTACTGTGTAGGTCAAATTGAAGAGTAGTTCACCCAAAAATGAAAATGTACTCATCCTTAGACCATCCAAGATGTAGATGAGTTTGCAGATTTGGAGAAATTTAGCATTACACCACTTGCTCACCAATGGATCCTCTGCAGTGAATGGGTGCCGTCAAAACTGGAGAAAGCAATAATATGGTTAGAGGACTCCTATAGACAGAAGTGACAGTTATAACACCTTACTTATGGATTTGTTTCATGCAAACACAGATTTGCTTCACAAGATGTTAATTGATGGACTGGAGTCGTGTAGATTACTTGTAGATTATTCTGATGGTTTTATCAGCTGTTCAGACTCTCATTCTGATGGCACCCATTCACTGTAGAGGATCCATTGATAAGCAATTGATGTCATGCTAAATTTCTACAAATCTACATCTTGGATGGCCTGAAAGTGTGCAATTTTTGTGCAAATTTTCTTTTTTGGGGGGGGTGAACTATTCCTTTATATTTTGTGGTGTTACTGCGCGAATGGCAAGGCCAATAAAATAAATTTTGTTTATGGGGCTAAAAAATACTAGCCTATATCTTAAAATGTGTTCTTACATTATGCAAAATGACACTGGAAGCAGCCCTAACAAGGGTTATGCATTTGTGCATATGTGTCAGTTGGGGATTTAACTCATGGGTGCTCTTTCAGTCCCAGCTGTGTTTTCATTCCTGATTTGTATTGGTTCAGCACTGACATCAGGTTGTATTCACATAAACAATTTATTTGGAGGTAAATGCAAAAGAAAAAGAACAAGACACTTGCATAAAATTATGACATGTGTCATGCTTGTGAATAAAAGCCGCTTTGAATAAAAGCATATGCTAAATAATATAACACTGCAAGGTCAAGTCTGCATACAGAAACACTGCACATGCAGGTTATGAAAAACTGGACCTTGCTCAAGTTTTTTTTTTTTTTTCAGAATCTGCAGTGTTTATGCATGTGCAGTGCTTCTTATTAATCACAGATGAATGCAGGGTATATTATGCATGTTTAATATATGACTTTTTAGGACATGTTAATGCAAATTAAATGAGAATTTAAGACCAATTTTACCTTCGGCCTTCTGATAACACTCTGAAAATGATTTTTTTTTTTTTTTTTGGCCCAGAGGAAAAAATGCATTACAAATCTTGTTAATATAACAATAATACAATAATCAATGTTTCAGAAAAATCACGAGATTATTTATGGATGAATAATATTTACAGAATAATCAAGTAAATGTTAATACTTTTTTAAGTATCTCATACAAATAATTATTACAATAACTATTCAAGAAATTGCTGCTACATATATGTACAGAGGAACAAATGCATTACAAATCTTGTTAATATAACAATAATACAATAATCAATGTTTCAGAAAAATCACGAGATTATTTATGGATGAATAATATTTACAGAATAATCAAGTAAATGTTAATACTTTTTTAAGTATCTCATACAAATAATTATTACAATAACTATTCAAGAAATTGCTGCTACATATATGTACATAAGTCTTCTTTTGGCTCGAATTTCTAGTTGAATGTCAAACTCCAATGTGCATGAGCCATATGCTATTAAAATCACATGAAAGAGGTCAATAAGATAAACAAATTATTGAATTTGTTGAGCCATACGTTTCCAAAAGAGAAAAAATAAAGAACATGCAAATTGTGCTTCTTTCAAGTATGCTTCAATAGAATGGAGAGTGTAGTACACACATAGTAAACTCACAATTGGCACTATTCACAATTGACACTGCTTCAAATTCATGTTGTTTCATAGGTCTCATCCAATTATTATTGCCACACAGTACAAATATTGCCCTGGCAATGCATTAAAGTGAATGCACTATATGAAAAAGTGTGTGTGCACCAGGGTTAGAAATTTACCTGGGGATTGGGACAAACACATCACCGATAGTGACAAAAAACCCACAATTTATTCATTTATTCATTCTAACATTTGATTTATTTTGCGATATACTGTTCTAGGCTATAATGGGTTTCGGCATTGTTTAAAATGCATTCTAGTACTTATGTATTTATTGTTCAGATTGCCAATTTATTTTAATTAACTGATTCAACTGCAGTATTTGACACAAATTGATGACAGGTTGTGTTTTTATACATATGAAAAAAATGTAATCATAATGTACAAAAATGCCCCTGAAAATCAGTTTTAGCAAGGCAAATTGTTATCGTTTAGATTGTTTATTTCAAGTAACTAACTCAACTGTGAATTATTTGACAAATGGGTGTTACTTAGTGTTTTACATGAAAGAATATGCATTTGTAAAAATGCCCCTTAAAAATCAATTCCACCAGGGTTAATATTGCTCCTTAATAAAAAAAGTGAATTTCTAACACTGGTATATGCATACACGCTCCAGACGCTCACACCCTAAGCCTTAGATCCTTCAGGTGTGAAATGACATGTAAAAGGCCTTCTTGGAGTGGAAAGTCCTAAAGAAGGAAAAGCTTTCCAGATTACCACATCTTTAAGGATGAAAGGACGTGGCATATGCGGAGGAGGAAGAGGATGCTGGCAAAAACCCTTTTCTTCCTACCAGAGGGGAAGGCTGAAAGAAGACAGGCTTGATCTCTCTGAGATGTTGGACAGCGCTGAAGTGAGTGAACATGCTAACTCCAGCTCTGTGAGGGCGGACACTGGAAGAAGATGAAAGACGACTGTGCTCTCAGATCCCCTTTATTGGATTACGCCACATGGTTCAAACTCAAAAATCTCTGGTATTTTAATAGACCTCTGCAAAGAGGAAAGGTAACGCTAATAGAAAACGCGGCTGGTCGAGCCGGATTGTTAAACCGCCACTTACTGTAAATTTAAACCATGACCGGAAAGTTGTGAGTTTGAATTAAAGATTTATACACAGAGACACAAACATTCAAGACATCTGCATTTGGAAGGGAAAAAAATGAAAGAAAGAAAATGACACCCTGTAATTGGTTGAAATGCAAAATGTCAATATGGCCTAATGGTTTGACTGAGGCTAATTGCTTAATCAAATTTGTCTCGTGTTATTCGGGTGGTCAAAGGAAAGAGTTTCAGAGTTGTGATTGGCTAAAAAAAAAAAGCAAAAAAATCGAAACAATCAGCAATCTGTTGTGTCCCTGAACAGCAAATCCATGGCTGACAGAAATAATGGTTGAGATTAGTTTCTCCTGTTTTTGATTGCAGGAGCTACACTGCAGCCTGATTCCATTTTTCAAAAATTGACAAGATATAGCGTAGTGGAATTTAAATCATTGTGGTGATTACTGTCCTTATGGGTAGGCTGGGAGACTGAAAAGTTCTGGTCTGAACTCTTCCATGCTTCTAAGCAGCAAGGTGGCCTCCTGGGTGAGGCTGCGGTCCAGGTTATCATCTGGGATCATCACCACCTGCATTCCAGCTGCCAGACCCGCCTTTACCCCATTTGGTGCATCTTCAAAAACCAGGCACTGTGAAGACAGAATCAGACCAGACTAATCAGTTAAAACATAAATGCATTCATGCACAACTCAATATACTGAATAGTGTTGTACCAGTTGTACCAATACCAGTAAAATTCCATGGTTCTCAGTACCAGTTGTGGTACCACAACAAAATCTATTGCAACTATTTTATTCTGCTATAACTATTTTAAAAAAAAAGTGGGGGGAAAACACATTATGAAATAAATATTTTTCTCTAGTACACAATGGCCACCTAATTCCCTTAATCATCACAATGAGTAAAATCAAAGAATATATTTCTGATGTGCAACAAAAGATTGTTGAACTTCACAAATTTCTAAAAGTGGCTGTAAGTAAAGAGCTAAAGCATTGAAAATTCCCATTTACACAATCAATGCAATAAATACGAATTTCCAATCAACAGAAAATGTTACAAATCTGCCTGGAAAAGGATGTGGGTCTATTTTTGTCTTAAAGCAAGGTGAGGAGGAGAGTTTGAGTGGCCAAAGGCTCTCCAAGGATCACAGCTAGAGAACTGCAGAAAAGAGTCTTGGTGTCAGAAAGTCTGAAAAAACAAAAGATCAAACAGCACCTACATTATCATATGTTGTTTGGGAGGGTTTCAAGAAAAATCTAGAAAAGAAAACACTCTCATCCAAAAACTCCAGCATATTAATTTGCCAGACACTACTGGAACTTCAAACGGGACTGGCTTCTATGGTCAGTTGAAACTAAAACATGAGCTTTTTAACAGCAAACACTGAAGATTTGGTGAAGACAGGGATAAAAAAGTACCCCATGTGTACAATGAAATATACTGCTGGATCTTTGTGGGCATATTTTTTCTGCCAAATATCCTGGACATCTTGTTCAGATAGATGGCATTATGGATTCTATCAAATACCAAAAAAAAAAAAAAAAAAAACTGATTGTCCATACTGGAAATTTGATTATGGGCCAAGGTTGCATCTTCCAACAGGAAAATTATCCACAAAAAAAGAAAAAAACATTAAGTGTTCATTTTTCTAACAAGTTTGCTTTAAGTTAGTTACTTCATGCTATAAAAATGGAGTGTCATGATTGCATGCTTGCGACTGGGTCTGTGGAAATTTAGGTGGGACTTTGATACCGCCGCTCCAGCTTATGATCATTACTGTGCAGAATCAGGCTCCAAATGACAGAGCAAGACGATAGCGCCTACACTTGGGACATTTTAGCTTTACTTTTCTACAGTGGAAGGAAGTGGATATGTGTTGTCCATCATTTTTTTTTACAATCTATCCCTTATAAAAATTAACCATGGTTACCACAAAATAACCTTGTTTTTGCTACACTAACCATAGTTTAACCATTGTATTTGTAGTAAACCCGTGGTTATACAAATAGTAATCAATACACCAAAAAGTCATGGTTACTACACTTTTACTACAATAAAACCATGGTTAATTTTCATAAGGGTGATAGAAAGCTTTGATGCTCTTCACAGAGCACTCACATAACTATGAGAGCATCTGAAAGCAGCAGCCTATGGGCGGGTAATGGTACTCGACATTACCAAAGTACCGGTACTTTTGACAACACTAGTATTAGTGTAGAAACATGTATATGTAGAGAGAAGATCCAAAACCAGGAGATGGAAAGACCCGATATTTCAAATGCAGTAGTACAAAAAGAAGGCCTGTTACAGAGCCATATTTTGACATGCATGTCAACTGAAAATGATTCTCTTGTTCTTCTACAGGCAGTTTTATACAGGGCAAAGGAGGCATCAGGGTTAAGGTTTGAATAAAACGACTTCAATGATGTGTTAAAGAGTTTGACAGCTGCTGTCAAATGCATTTTAGAAGTTTAAATGTCAGGTAATCTGTCTCTTGATCTAGCTCTCTCCCTTTGGTCCTTTCAGTCATTCATTCATAGCATCCAAGTTCAACAAAACCACAACAAAATCACAAAAAAAGTTCAGTGAACCATATCGTGGGCAAAGAGTTTCCAAATATCGGCCCACAATGTCAAAACTGTGCACCACACAAACCATCATCCTTCCAGTCTGTCGTAGCTTGGACTGGGCGATATAGCTAAAACATTTATCAACAATATAATGTTTCATATCGTTCGGTATCGATCATTATTGACAGTTTTATAACCTTTTTTAAAACAAAGAGCAATAGAATTTTTTTTTTAATTCAACCACTGTATTTTTAATGTACCCAATTTAAGACAGACAACATTTTTTTTAACAGTCAAACACAAAATAAAATGTAAACAAATATTTCATTTCTTATGTTTTATATACAGATTAAATAGCCACAGGAGGGCGCAATGAGCAAAATAATGCAGCGCATTAAATTGTTTATATAATGCAATTAAAATAACAGTCTATAAAAAACATGCACAACGTCTAAATTAACATATATAAATCAAATATAATTTTGTAAATTGCATAAACAATTATGAACAAAACAGAATAAATTCCATTTCACAAATTCGCAACGTGTTTTCTAAAAGTTTAAACTCTTTTAACTTTACATGGCTTTCTATACATATCTCGCGTGAGACGCGAGTGCAACAGTCATAGTAAAAATGCGCCTAATATGCGTTCTTTGTGAATGGCTTGGTTTCGGTTTTAACCTAACCAATAACTTCTCCGCATTGAACTTCTATAATTCTCTAATATTTTGTATGAATAATGCAGCAGCGGCGCATCTTGTGGGTTCAATTGGACAGACTAATAAAAACAATAAAGTACGACAAAGACACTTACATCATCATTACCACATCTCGTGCGCCTCTGATGAGGCTCCCTCAGCGACGCACACCTAACATTCGATTGCACCGTTTTTGCATTAAAATGCAAATTTTATTTTAAATTCGACTAATATTCATTTTTTATTCACAATCTCCTCATCACAGGCAGGCACAGCACTCAGCATGCGTTCGTGTGTGCTGTCTGCTTGTCACTCATAGCACGCGCCTATATCGTGCACTATAGCGAACATTTTTTCTATCGCTATCGTCAATAAATACCGATACCGTTTTATCGCCCAGGCCTAGAGACTCGTAGCCACCATTTACCACTGTTTGACATGGACAATTTGTGACCACCATATGACACAGCTTGTAACAGGAATGTCTCACATACAACAAAGCTTTTCCAATTCTCGAGCAGGAGCAGGAGATTTAATTTTGTTAGTGAACATTATAATGTTGCCTGAATATATATTTTCAAAATCTTGAGACCAATGGTGACATATTTAAAGCAACTAAATAAAACATTAAGGTCATGTCTCAAGCTTTACAACAGTGAGCAAGTTTTCATTTTTTTTATCATAAAACATACAGCTTTTTCTTAAAATATGCATTTCAATCGTTTCATTGTTATAATTAGTGGGTGACCAAAATGGGTTTGTCAGCATCACATGCTGATATCTAGAAACCAAAGTGGTCAATGCTGATATATAATTTAATGAATTCAATAATAGCAAATGAGACATGCACAAAATTGCTCAATTATTAAATAAACAATATTTTCTTACAAACACAAAAGTGCATCATCCATTGATGTAATATCTCACATACTAACTAAAAGCCATTAGAGTCAGAACGCTTGCTTAGGAGCCGCCCAGTACATATAATTGACCCTCAGGAACAGAGATTCTACATTTTGTCTCATCACAGGAACAAATAAAAAAGGCAATTGAGTTTCCATGAATGGCTGTAATTGACTGATGTCACTAAGCCAGTTGTACGACGAGTGGAAGTGCCTCAACAAAGAGCAGCGGAAGCATGGAGCTCACTTTGGAGAGTAAAGCTTAGCTAATTCCCTTGTACCGGGGGCATAATTAAAACTTCTAATTACGCAAAGAGCCCAGCAAATGACCCATAATTACTAAGGCACGCATTTCTGTGAACATAAAGGAAATAAAAAAGCTTGACGACAAAAGCTAAGCGTAGCACAAATGCTGGCTTTTTCTCTGTCAGCAATTTGAAGTGGAGCATCTTGTTGGATTAGAAACGGTCCAGGACATCTAACACAAGAATGATTCAGTAATTAGTCATAGCTAGTGTATGAGAAGGCTTAAGATTCACACGTCACTTGAGCAGACAGCTGGGGATGAGAGGGTGAGACGACTGTCTCAAACACCTCTAATTAAGACAGTGAGTCAGCATTTTACAGTCGGATTTGCTTCTCACCTCAAAACATGGGGGAATGCTAAAAGGTAGACTTTGTTACCAGTTTATTTGAAATCCTGATTTTAGGCCTTCATATTACATAAACAGAAAAAGAATACCTTAAAAAAAGTTAATGAGAGAGAGAATGTTTGACTAAAGAGAGAACAGAACAAGTGCAACCATCCATGACAAAGCCTTTCCATCACAAATCATCCGTCATGCACCTCCACAAATCTGTCTACTAGCATTTCCTGCAGAGCAATTCAGTAGTGGAGCTGCACAGCAAAAACATTTAGCTATTCATATATATGTAATCAGTGTTGGGTATAACTAGTTACTAAGTAATTAGTTACTGTAATTTAATTACTTTTCCCTTGAATAAGTAAAGTAAGGGATTACTCTGATTTTTTCTGTAATTTAATTACAGTTACTTCTGGATTTAACATCCAAGTTTAAAGTCTAACCTTAAAATGCATGCTTTTTATGTAATCTTCTCACTTTAAATACTTTGGTGAGTTAATACGAATATTGGTAACACTTTAGGGTCCAATTCTCACGATTAACTAGTTAGTTATTAGCATGAATATTACTGGGATATTGGCTGTTTATTATTACTTAAAAAGCACATATTAAGACCTTATTCTAAATCCTTAATCCTACCCAATTCCTATCTTAATTCTTAAACAGAATTGTCAACAACTACTTTACTAAATATTAATAAGCAGTAATTAGGAGTATATTGGGGCAAAGGTATAGTTAGTTCATAGTTAATAGTTAGTTAATAGTGAGAATTTGACCCTAATCTAAAGTGTGACCAGAATGATTTATGTAGTTAT